CCTGCCGCCGCCACTTAGCCCGTCGGTTCTGGAACCACACCTGCAGGAGAGAGTACAGGGGCTGTCGGGAGGCATCGGAGGCTGAGGCCGCGTCCCCAACCCTGAGCCCATTCAGCCCGGCAGGTTCCACTCCCTCCTCCTCAAATAAAACTAGGGGCGCAACTGTTAGGCACCTGCCGAGCGGGGGCCCGGATCTTCTTCCTTCCACCCACTCCGACTCCTCCCACCTAGCATTCTCTTTTCTTTTCCACCTTTTTTTTTTCTTTTTCTTTTCTTTTCTTTCTTTTTTTTTTTTTTTTTTTTTTTTTTCCCATCCTAGTCCTCCGCGGCGTCCCACCCTTTTCTCTGCTTATCTCATCCATAACTGTGGTTGTATCTGTTTCCAAATCCTAGTACAGAGCAGGAGCTCAGGAAAAAAGTGAATTTAACTCTGCAATCGGATCGTAGAACTTTGAAATGAGATCTCACCAATTTTCTGTGACCTGCTGGTTGGCAGCCCCTCCTAACAGTTTAGACTTGCTTCTTCCCTGTATAGTACAGCTCTAAGTTGCTGTAGTTTGGTCTCAGACTTTCTCTGCTTTACCTACCCTTTGTCTCTAAATACAGGTATAAATAAATATTGTTAAGCAGAGTAACTGGCGAGAATGGGGATTAAAATTCACGTATTTTCACGGATTACTGGTTATGATAACTAGATAGGAGCAAGTGGGGTTTATTTTGCCCCAAGCATATTTGAATTGCTGCTTTAATATTTTCATTTTTAGTTAATTAATATCTGCTTACTATTTCTGCTGTTTCTTATTACTTTCAAGGGGTATAATCATTCCAGTCTATTATATCTACTTTTACATTACAAAGCTAATTTTGATATTACCCTAAGACCTTAGCTCAATGACAAGGTTTTTTGCTTCTTCTTCTTTACATATACAAAGTTCTTGCCAAGAGTAACGTCGGGTTTCTTCCAATGAAACTTCATTACTGATTTGATAAAAGCGCTGGAAAATGTGTAATTACATTTTTACTACCAGTTCCACCTTCATAGGCAAGACAGAGAATCCATTTAGTAGAGAACACAAAAGAACTTCAGCCAAACTGGTGGCTTTAGTGCTATATTTATGAAGGGAAATAGGGAGATTGTCACAACCTCAGAAGGGAGAAAGTAGTTTTCAGTCAATAAAGGCGGGGGACTCCCTAGGACAGCTGAAAGAACAGCAATTCAGCACCTAAGCACCGCAGGGCAAGTGTGTGAGAGGTTGTAATTAGGGAAAAAAAGAGAAACAACAAAAGTGTAAGTACACTGTAGCATCCCAGAAAAGATTCAGCTGCATATCTAAGGCCTCAAGTCTTCCTTAAATATTAGATATTTGCCAACAGTAGTGAAAAGAAACACTGATTTTGGTGAGGGATCCTGTCCCACCACCTCCTCAGCTTCCCTGTCTGTCAGCTGTAGCCTTCAGATCCAGTGTCCCCGGTTATAGACAGAAGGATTGAGGTCGGTTATGGCAATGCTCTACTGCTGCCCTCAGTGCGGGAGATCCTGCCTAGTATCTCTACCATCTGATTACATCATAGTCATGTGTTAAGAATGGCCATATGCTGGGTGCTGTGCTGGCCCTGTGGTCACAAAGAAGTCACAGACACTGTTCTCAAGAATCTCACAACTTAGAGAAGAAGCCAAAACCTCTGAACGAGTAATGAGGGAGGATGCAGGTGGGCTCAGGTCCCCAGGGAGCTGAGTCTGCTTTGCTTGAATTCTGTAGGGTACTGGGAGGCTTTGCCTGTCTTCTTTCTCTTGTATTCGTTCCCTCTCCCATCTTTCCTTTCTTGAAAGCAGGTGCTAAAATTTCCATCCCTTCAGTGAAATCATTGCAGCTTTACTGCCCCAAATTAGGAGACATTGAACTGTCCTTGCTGGTTAATCCCAAGTCACATTAGGGAATTATATTTTTTTAAGCCATGACTTTTACTCATTACTTTCAACTCTTAAACTAAGCAGAGAAAAAAAAAAAAAAAGGCAGCAGCTTGTCCTCTTTTACTTTTAAGACATGGATAAAAGCTCCGAACACTTGAGTATTCTCATTTCCTGGAAATCTAACTTATTAGACACACACAAAAATCCCATCTTAGTTCCACTGCCTTTCAGATGCAGTGAAATTTGTTCCCAATGTCTGTCTTTCAGCCCTCTGTAAACTCTCCCAATTTGGAAATCCTCCCAGATTTTTCACAGATGACTAGCAAATATTTAAGGCTTTCAAATATTTTAATGATCAGGGATTAAAGATAATTCAGCTTTAATTAAAGCGAAAACCTCTTTACAATAAAAAGAAAAGGCCTTTGCAGCGAGAAGTTTGGTTGGATGTGCACCAGAAAAGGAAAAGTCAGTTTCTTAAACAAATCCGACCAAAGTTTCAACTGCGAGGTGCCAGGCCCTTTGCAAGGAAACAGGATTTTCGTTTTCAACTCAGTATACGCAGTTAGTGACGAGGGTAGCATTTGCGGCCCCAATCTTGTCACCTTCGATCCCTACCTGCATTCCCTTTCCACACAGCAATCCCCAACCCCTTCCTGGCTATGTCTAATGAGCTGTTGGCTTCTTCATCTTGCAAGTCATTCCCTTCTTCTCTTTTTAGCTTAAAAGAGGGAAACCACCAAAGGGGAGCTCTTACTACAAACAGGAACATACTACTTGAAGGGTGGTGCACAGGGAACATCGAAGAGCTGTGCCTCTCCCTTGGGACTCTGGGCGTGCCAAGTCGAGGAAGGACAGTAATAAATGCGTGAATGCCCGTGAATTCCGTGAAGCATTGGCTGCAGTTTGGGCCTCGGGCCCTCCCGGATCCCAGTTTCTCAACCTGGGCTTTTTACCTGGACCCGGACCTCGGGTAGGTTGACCTTGCCGGCCAGCTCCTCGCGGCTGTACACGTCCGGGTAGTGGGACTTCTCGAACGCGCGCTCCAGCTCATGCAGCTGGTACGTGGTGAAAGTCGTGCGATTCCGCCGGTGCTTTTTCTTGGGCTGTTCCTCCTCTGACAGTTTCGCTTCGCCGGTGGCTGGCCCGACGGGCAGTCCTGGGCTCGGCCGTGCCTCCCCGGGCTCCTTGGGGCAGTAGGGGCGAGGGCCTGGGGCGACGAGGCCCGGGAGGGTCAGATACACTCCCCAGAACACCCTTGGGGCGACCCCTCCTCTCCGTGGGCGCTGGCCAGCCCGCCTGCGGGCTCCGAGATGGCCCGGAGAGGTCCGGGGTGAGGGCGGCAATGGGGTCCTAAGCTTTCTCTGAATGCAAATTGGAAGCTCCCGCCATAAACAGAGTCCCCAACCCCGCGCCCAGGTGCCTTAATAAAAGTTAAGGAAGGGACACTCTCGTCTGGCAAACTCCTAAACTCGGGCGCCCAAAGGGCCTCGCACAGCCAGGGGTGAGCACTCACCTTCGTACTCTGGGGCCGGCGCCGGGGCTGGCGGCGGGGAGGGCTCGGTGCCTCCCTCGGGCGCCTTGGGGCAGGCGGGCCGCGCGCCCAGCCTCCTATCCCGCTCCTTCGCGCCCCGGGCACCCCGCTCCGCGGGGAAGGTGCCGAGGATCCCGTCGTCCTTGGTAAACCCCAGGATGGCCTCGATGCTGTGCAATCGCGAGGTGCTCCCTCCCGGGCTGCGGAGCAGGTGGCCCGCCAGCGAGAAGCTCCCGTCGGCCATGGCTGGCGCGCAGCCCGGCAGGTGCATGGGGGGCGCCGGGAGGCGGGAGGGCGCTTTGGAGACAGAGAGGAGAGGCTCGAAGCCGGCTCTTTCCCAGTGTGGCGGTGCAACCCGAGGGGTCCGGACCCTAAGTTAAGCTCTGCGGGCGAAGCCCACCCGAGCTGCGCACGCTGGGGGTGGCCGAGCGCTCAGCCCGCTGCCGCCTTAGTCCCAGAAGTCGGAAGTTCGGGCTCGGGGTAGCTGGAGCTCTTGGAGCTAAAGGCGGGGAGCCAACTGGCCCTCGGCTCCGCAGCTATCGCCCGGGACCCAGCCCCTTCTCTAGGCCCCTCCCTCCACAGAGGGGCGTGTCCTTGCCCGGACCAGCCACAGGGTCCTCTCTTGGCCACCCCCAGCACTAGGAACATTCCCCTCCCACCTCTTGATCCGTTTTAAGCTTTACAAACACACTCGGGGGATCGGCGGCGCGATGCTTGATACGCCGGGGAACCTGATCGCGGCGCACCCCTAGTCCTGCCTCAGTGGGGCCGACGCCCTTGGGCTCATCTCTCCCCTTGTCTCCCTGTACCTTGGGCTTGCCCTCTCACTTCAGACTAACCCCTAGGGGTCACCTGGCTCCTTGGACGCACCCCGTCCCAACTTCAGACTCGCCCGTCTCGCCCGCTCTGGCTCACCTCGGCGGGGCCGCCACCCTGACCTGCGTCCCCTGGAAGCGCGGAGGCCCAGCCGAAGGCTTCCCAGCCCCGCACTAGTTCCAGTTTGAATTTCCCCTCGCTGTCTCCCTTTTCTGGACCCACTCCTTCCTTGGCTCGGTTGTACGAAGTCCCAGACCTCGCGTTTAGTTTGTCCGTCTACATTTGTTTTGACTCCTCCCAGTCCCCTCGGACTTGAGCGCCGGCAGCCCTCCTCCCTGCCCCCAGCGCTAACCCCAGGGCCATTTCTGTACGCAAGTCCGGTGATCTCTAGCGCCCGATTGCCCAGCAGGAGACTGGGAGCCCGGAGTCGGATGTGCAGCCGGGCTTAGGTCCCGCAGGAGACCCACCAGGAATTCCTCGCTCTCACCCACTGTCCTGCGGGGAGGGCGGGATCCTTTACTGAAGTTACAGCGGTGTCGCACTCCCACCTCCCTCCAACACTTCTCCGGACCAAGGATATGGCCCAGAACTGACTGGGGAAGGACCTTCTCCCCGGGAGAAGGCCCCGCGCCTCTCCGAGGGTTCAGGAGTAATCGGCTTGCAGGCTTGCAGTTCTTTCTCCTTTGGACCCCCTCGAGGCTTCCGTGGCCCACAGCGACTGATCGACCACTCGGAAAGATGATTTGATAGGGTGAGTGTGTTTCACCTGCTGCATTGCGGATGGACAATGGCGCTGTGAACATCGCACCCCTCAAATCTGAGGCGAGACCCGAGAAGGGCGCTTGGCCTTCCCTGAGCTGGTGGCCTGAACCGTGAATTAAAATGCTTTCCTATGAAAGCTCAAGAACCTAGAGGACAACATCCCTAAAATCTCCTTTTCAGTAGGCGCTCAGATCTCGGCAGCAGGGGCGTCTTCTTTATCCCGCTTACGTTCAGACAAGCGTTTGCTGCGTCCCTCTAGAGGGCAAGGCAACCGTCCAGGGCCAGGTCATGGGCATCTAACAAATTGGGAAAGGCCAGGGCCGTTAGCCTGGTGGAGTTTAACATCCAGTCTGGAAGACAAGACAAAGGAAGAGGGAAAACACATACCCTCAGATCCTCCACCTTTAAATTGATGTTAGAAGGATATTTGCCGAGGACAAGCCAGTTCCTCAAGGATCATTCAGTGGTTAATTCCCCGTGATGGGCGTATCTGTTTTTCATAAAACTATATAAAGGCAAACCAAAATAAGGGCAAGCATGTGACTGCAGGAGATAGAAACTGAACTAATTCAAGTCAGAAATTAGTTTTTATTTTAAGAAAAAAGCTAAATTAATGAAAGTTAATAGCACTTTACAGTGTTCACATATCACTTTTATTTATGTATTTATTATTTGTTTGTTTGTTTATTTTAGACACAGGGTCCCTCTCTGTCGCCCAGGCTGGAGTGCAGTGGCGTGATGGTGGCTCACTGCAGCCTGGAGCTCCCGGGCTCAAGCAATTCTCTCAACATGTTGCTTTGTAGTTTTCAGAATCTTCTCACTTTCTTCATATCATCTGATCTTCACAACCTTGTGAGGTGAGCAGGACAGATATATTGGTCCCCATTTTACAGAAGAGGAAACTGAGGCTCAAAGTGATACAGCTATTAAGTGGAGGGGTAAGGACTAGAACTCAGGCCACTGACTCCTTGTCCAGTGTTTTCTGCCTGCCACTCATTTGTAATTATTGTTGTAGAGTGTGATCTTTTTGAAAACAATCAAAGCCCATCTTAGCCTGCAGTCTGTCTTTAATCCTTCCCTGAGACTGAATTCTGCACCTAAGAGGCGGAGGTAGAAGCCGTTTAGCTCCCAGAAGAAATAAAGTCAGACCCTATAGAGAGTGGGCTTTGGGCACTGGCATCCAGGGCAAATTAACAAACCCTCTGGAGAGTCCCCTGACAGACCAGGCTTTGCCTCCTCCTCCGCCCCTCCTCCACCTTTCTAGACCCCATAAATGGCCTGGTGGCACCCGATAAGGTCTGACTGCCAGTTACACAGACCAGGTGGCTGACGTGCTGAGGTGCTGGTGAGCAGAGGGCAGCCATGGGGATAATTAATTGGTATTTGTTGTTTCCCCTCTGACCGAGAATGCTTTTTATGCAAACTTCCCAATATTAAATTGATCTTGATAATCACCGCTAAACAAAGATTGGCAGCGTTTTCTTAAGCTCCTGCCCACACGCTGCTAAGGGGTTTATGGCCTTGTTTTCCAAAGTTAATTCCTCTGAAACTGCCCAGCTCCTCCTAATAAGTCCAGGTGAGGTTAGCTTTTATTTACTGTTTATTTCAGAGTCTGGGGAGAAAAGCAGAAAAGACTTCAACAGCCACTGGCGAGGGCAGGGGTGATGGTGATGGGGGTGGGGGAGACAGGGCAGAGGAGGACAAGGGGGAGTTGGGGCTTCCTTTGTGCAGGACATAAAGAGCTAGTCAGTACCATTGTGGGCACGGCGGAGGGTACTCCAAGCAATCAGCCGGGGGTCATTGTTAGGGGCTAATCTACGTGTGTATTTCCCAAGAACTCGATTAGGGAAGATGAATGGACTGGGCCATGTCCCTAATTCTTCTAGCATGAAGCTGCATTTTTCCAGCAGTTAGGCTAGCTCATAATCAGCCCTGCTTCAGCAACAGTAAGAAGCCTGGCTTCTGAACCCCACCTCTGGTTAATTCATTAATTCATCAGATGGATCAAAGAAACCCCCTCCTTCCATCCCCCACCTACAGCCAACCTTAAACACAGCTAAAACCCCATTAAACTTGGGATGGTTGGGAGACACACATTTCCAAAAGTGAGGAAGTTGTGGTATAAAGCGGCTCCTTGATCGTGGATGTATGGAGAAGGTCCAATTTCTGGAAGTATTCTGCATGAACAGTGTCACCTACAACACAGAGGAGACATGCATATCCCCATGCACTGGACGGAAAAGGAGAGGGAGACCAGTGAATTAAGGACATTTGGCCACAGCCTCTAGTCATTTCACCTCTCAGTGATGTTTTACCTTAGGGTGAAAGTGTCTGTGGAAAGGCCTATGAGATATCAATTCATAAAGCGTATCAAACCAACTTGATTGTCTGCATGTAGATTGTCCCCATAGCAGATGTATTTTAATCCTGGAATAACTCCCCTTGTGTCATGCCACACTCGAGGACCTCCTCCTCCCACTAGCTCATACATGTGCAAGAAAGGCAACTTACTTTTAGTTTTAGCCAGAGCAAAACACAACTCATATAATCACTAAAACATGCACACATACCATACACACACACTGAAGTTCAACAAATTCAATTGTCAAGAGTTAAGAATACATACAAGAGCTACTATTTATTGAATACTAAGTATATGTCAACAGGTATATGCCATACACTTTTGAGTATTATTTCACATGAATTACCCAATTTAGTACTTACAATAATCCTATGATATAGATGCTGTTATTATTATTATTATTATTATTAGACACAGAGTCTGGCTCTGTTGCCCAGGCTGGAGTGCAGTGGCATGATCACAGCTCACTGTGGCCTCAAGACACTGCTATTATTATTATTATTATTAGAGACAGAGTCTGGCTCTGTTGCCCAGGCTGGAGTGCAGTAGCATGATCACAGCTCACTGCAGCCTCAACTTCTTGAGCTCAAGCATCCTCCCACCTCAGCTTCCTGCAAAGCTGGGACTACAGGTGCATGCCATCACATCCAGCTAATTTTTGTATTTTTTTTTTTTTGTAGAAATGGGTTTTTGCCATGTTGCCTAGGCTGGTCTTTAGCTCCTGGGCTCAAGCAATGTTCCTGCCTTAGCCTCCAAAAATGCTGGGATTACAGGCTTGAGCCACTGCACCTGGCCGGTAGACACTATTATTATCCCTACTTTACAAATAAGGAAACTGAAATACAGAGAGGTTATGTAACATGTCCAAGGTCACACAGCTGGTTTCAAGTAGAGCCAAGATCTGAACCTAGGTGTTTTACTCAGGAATGCATCCATCTCCCCACCACGTGTGCTACCCCCAACAAGGTATGCGTATTAACGTGCACCATTAATTCTCCAGTGGCCATAAGAGAACCAGCAGATAAATTAAAGCAAGAAAATTTGGGAGTCAAGGGTAACAGGAATAATATAGTTCAGAGTGATATGGGGATGAGAAAGGTATGATGGATAGCCTATAATTTATTAAGTTATGTAAGATGGTTACAGATTTGCTAAAAAAAATAAATAAATAAGTATACCATTCAACTTTCCAAGGCTGTCTCATGAAGTTTAGGGAATTTTCCCTGTTCTGAGTTTCAAATCACTCTCAGTGGTTTGTAAACTATATATTTTTAAGCATCTAAAATATATTTTTTCAGCACTGGCCTTTGATGCTGTGAATTCTCCCCTATATCGTATTATACATTGCATATCATGGGCGAGTTGCTGGCAATGGTCGCAAAAATATCAATAGCTAAGCTCTTTTTGACACTGACATTGCATCCAGAGATAAAATACACTATGCTTGTTCATCTCTCACTACCAGATCTCCCTCATTTATGAAATATTAGCTACTTGAAGCAACCCAGAAGGTATATCAGAAAAATGTTCTTAGAGGTGCCTACCAGAACCCCATTTTTACATGTGGGCAACTAACAATGAATATCCTTGGCCACTTTCAGTATATGACCTTGACACAGATGATAAAGACGTTTCCTGTATAGTAGTTTACCTCTTACTATGTCAATCTGGATATTCTCTAGCATTTTCAGACTAGATTGAAGCAAATGTTGATATAAGGATTGTACAGTGAATAGTAGTCATGGCTGAAATACCATAAACCAACAAAGAGATGGGCCTCATGTAGACATTTTGGGTTGAATTGAGAGCCCTCTCAGATGGGCATATGGAAGCAAACATTTCATCTCATCACAAGATGAAATGAAGGGCAGTTGGGAGCTGTTGTTTCTGAGCAGTAATACCCTGTATGAAAGCCTTCCTTTCACCTAATAGGGACCACAGCTCTCTGCAGACCATCCAGCAATTAGCAAGAAGTCTCCTCCTTGGGAATTTCCATTGTTCCCCAATTATGATGTTTTTGGAAACAACATCACTTAAAACTGCCCTCCCACTTAGTTTCCTGTTATTTCAGGGGATCATATATTGAAGATTTAGAAAAGGAACTTTGATTATTATCTGTTCTGTTCTCTTATTTCTAGTCCCCATTTTAACATTTTAGATGTGAAAATGTGTGGGCCCAGAGAAATTAAGCAGT